TACATAAAAACATATATATATAAATATATACATACATACATATATACATACATACATACATATATATATGTTTTGTGTGTGTCTGTACAATTATTATATAAAATAATAACATTGAATATAGTTCTATCATTTATATCTACCAGCATTGTTTTATTGCTCAACTTAGCAACTGTTCTTGCTTTAACTGATTGGTAATATTCATTTTTAAATTACAGTTTTTAAAAAAAATTGTATGGTCATTCATTTCCAGTCTTGTCTTTTGTGATCATTATAAATGATTGTTTCAATGGCTTTTTATAATTAAAATTTAGTTATTTCATATAAAGCCATTTTCACTCCTGAAATTGATAAATCATCTTTATGATTTACATTGCAGATTTGGAGTAAAAGGAAGTATGCAATGGTGACATTTTAATAGTATATTTTAAAATCTAATCAAATATAATTACATATAATTTACTCTGGTGAAGTAAATGACAAGATTATTTAAATTTAAACAGAAATAACTTTTGAAAATTTGAAATAGAATTTTAAGACAAATAATAACATAACTTCCCAGAAACAAATGCCCATTTTCAAAATCACATTGCATGAAACAGTTTTACTGGGTGAATAATCAAAATATGTTATTGTTATGTGTATTAAAAAGCTCTTCAATATCTCTCTATATTTCCCAGATTAAGTATTGTAATTATTTACATATTTACATTATTTTGGACAATTGTCTTCATCTTTGCTATAATCATGTTTTGGTTATTGTATATCCAAATTTCAGGGTGACTGGAAATTTCAAACTGAACCTTTTTGTTTTCAGATTCACTGGGGTTTGTTCTAGTTCAAATACCCACGCCTTTTCTGGATGCCTCAGTAAAAGTTATTGGTTAATTCAACTCTCCAAGTTTTTTGTTTCACCTCATATTTTTTTTAATTATTGAACTCCAAATGTGGGTCCAAAGAATATGACCCAAAGAGTTGTGTAATCTAAAGATAAACTGATTTGGAATACAAAAAAGTTTTAGGAAATGTAACAAAGATTTTTTCATTTTGTCATATATTTTTCACTATTTTTTTTTTGATATACAAAATATATTGTTATCTAATATATAGTTTACAGTATGCTTTGTTTTATTAACAAAAAGTTTGATCAGGGATAGAGCATATGTAAATATAAAAGTGAACAGTGAGATCAACATCCAGTTTTTTTTTTTGTTTTCATGCTTTAAATATAATCTTTGGGCCTGAAAATAGATTTGTAGGTTTGACCTAATGTTCAACAATAATCAATAACTGAATGAATGATAGGGAAACCTGATAATGATAACAATATTGGTTTGATAAACAAAATCTGATTCTTATAAAAATTAACAAAAATCTGTTTCAAAATTAAATGTCAAAACTCAAAAACTATGAGTAGCTTCAAAACATTTTACTTCGAATTAAGTTTACAAATAGGAAGATTTAAAGTAAATTTTTTTGTTTCCTTTTCAAATATAACATTATTCACACCTTAGAATTTGATGATTTAATTTGAGCAGGAAATAAAGGTGGATTTTGATAATTAAAGATATTTAAAACAATAAAAACACAAGATTACATTGGAAGGTAACTCAAAATGTGCATCTAGGCCATATTTTGTGTTACCTCAAATGAACAGGTTTTATGATGATCATGATGCGAAAAGTATTGTTGTCTGGACCAGTGAGATATTTGGAATTTGGACAATTTAGCTCAGAATATGGAAAACCACTATAGATCACAATAACTGTCATTCATCAAACAAAGTGTTCTGATGCTTTTCATCATGTTGTTCAGATGTAGTCAAATAAAAGTAATGAATTTTGTTGATAGAAATTTGCTTTGTCAATGTCCATGGCATTTCCATTAAATCAGCTTTTGGACAGACCGTATAGTTTTATAAGATAAATTTAATCTCATAGTGTTTTCCTTAAATATCATGCAGGTGCCAAAGAGCACTGTTTTGAGACCATGGGATCAACAATAAATGAATTGTCCAATTTTCATTGGTACAGAGCTGCTGATGTCTTTGAAATCAACTATTCTACATAATATTCAAAGTAATTGTAGGAAGTTGTCAATCATTGAATTACATTATTACTCCAGATGTCACTAGTTTTTTTTTCCAGTTGTAATTGAACATATATTAGCACAAATGCTAACAGAGAGATTGAAACGCTTCATAAAACAACGAAACATACAGAACCACCAGTAACTAAGGTTTATCATCTCATTGAAAACGCTTTTAGCTTTAAGTCAATGATCATAACAGTTGCCTGAAGTTGTGATAGTCTACATTGAAAAAACGGATTCACGTTCTTTCAATATTGAGGTACCAACTTTTTACCTGTCCTAATGACTTCTTGTTTATTTCAGTTATGTCTATTTTAACCCAGAATCCACTTAGTCACACCAATTACCTCTTGGGTTGCACCATCATGAATTATCAAAATAGAATTTTTCTTGTAAATCTGTAGATTAAAAAAGTCCACAGACATTACAGAGAAAAAATATTACAGAGATTATTTTTTGTTGGTTCATTGAAATAAACTCACTAACAACTTTTTATGGTTCATTTAATGCCAACAGTTTTCTGAGTATTGAAGCCATGACACTGCTGTAGTTGGTGTTTCTGTTAACATGCAATGATTGCACATAAAATCAGCACAGATATCACTTAGGTCATCAATACCATATTTGTCTGCTAGAGTTAAAAGAGGCAGTACAGACTCATGAGTCAGGTGAATGGAACCAGTGTAGATGTATTTCATGAAATCTTGGAATACTTGGATGCATTCGGGTTCTTCTTTTAGGACAATGCGCTCTTTGTAAGACTCTGGCCATTGAGGGTTGGTCAACATTGTTTTGAAGACATCACTACACATACTCAAGATCAGCTTGTGTACAAGGAAGACTTTCCGGCCAACAACAAGCTGCACATCACTGAGCTCAGGGTCTGAGTATAGAGAGAAAAGCCTCTGCAACATAATGCGGAAGTTGTCAACATGCTGACCGGTGTCCAAGCCAAACCAAGTCTTCTTGGTGGGTGGGGCCCCTTCATTGTAATCTGTACAGCAAGCACAGCACTCACGCACACACTGGCCTAGTAAATAAGATGTTTTCCAATCACCCAAAGCTGAAATGACACAAATTTAATGTTAGATTCATGGTAATTATTGGATAAAGAGTAATAAAAAGAAGAAGAATTTAAGATGTTTTTTCCCTTTTAAATATACATATTTATCATTTGTTACAAATTCTAGAAAGCAAAAATGAAAAATGTAAAGCCCAAATTTTGAAATATCTCTTTTAAATGTTTTATAAGAAAGTTTTCAAAGAACAAAATATAGTTATTTTCTAAGTGTGACACAAAACACACGTGTGTACATTTTCAATGACATTAAAAAATATATTTTGGAAAATATAGATTAAATTTTAAAATGAGAGATTTCAGATTCAATATTAATGGTTTTCGAAATATTTTAACATTAAACATTAAAAAATGGAAAAACTCCTGTTACATATTTTGTATAGGGACAAAAGCATGCATGTGTGTGTGTGTGTGTATATATATATATATATGGAAATATATATATATATATATATATATATATAGTATATTATATGTATACAAAAAGGTGATGGGGTAAATTGTCGCCATTTTATATTTTTAATTTGTGCCTTGGTTTGTTTTTGATTTTGTTGATTGCATAGTATATAGTAGGGTAATAGGGTACCATCTGGAGAAAAAGATCACCATGACGCAATTCACTCCACCAGAAATTTGGAAATAAAATGCTGTATTGCTTGGCATTCACACCAGAAGCTCCAATACAAACATTTTTGAGTGTTGGGTGTCAATCTGGAGGACAGTGAGGCACATTCGAAAAGGGTTGAATGAGTCTAATGGTAATTATGAAGGTATTTGAAATGATCACTAGTGATGGTGAAGTTATGCCTCCATTTATTTTCCCACAGGGCCTCAGGCTCAACATGAAGGCCTACATCAAGCTCTGGAAGACCCTATGCCTGGCAACAGAATTCTGCACTATGCCACACAAGCAGGATAACCTGGTCATGGCTGTCAGACAATTTCTATAACCACATCACCTCTTACATCTGGCTGCCTAACTCCACAAACTGCACACCCGCCTTGATTATTATATGTGAGGCACAGTTAAGCAAGAGGCCAACAAAATTCCTTGTAACACCAAAGATGAACTGAAGGTAAGGATAATGGCAGCCTTCTCCAACTTAAACAAAGAGACCATCCAGAAGAGTTGCAGGAGATTCCAAAGTTGTTCTTGAGGCCATGGTTGAAGCCAGTGGCAATTTTTATTTAATAAATTAAATTAATATTTCAAGATATTTGTGTAATTTTGGTAAATATTGGTTAAAATGAGATTACAGTATTATTTTCATTTTGCATAATTTAGACTACAATTTATCCATCGCACGGTATATATATATATCCTATATATATATATATATATATAAAAGAAACTTAGTGTTGGTGTATACAGTAATAAATTTGTAATAACCAAAAATACTATTCTTTCAAGAGTGCTCAATATTTGAGTAGAACAAATATAATCTTTTAAAAATTGTTTGTGGAAATGGGGACAATCACTTAGGAAATAGCCAAATTGTTTCCAACACTTGATTACTTTGATGGAGTGACGTGTGATTGAAATGTAGAATAAATCGGTTTTAAAAGGTTCAAATATTTTCTCAAACACATAACATTTGGGAAAATGTCTTAATAAGCTGCAATGACCAAATCGAAATACACACAATTATATGAGAATTGCAAAAAACTATTTACAATGAACATTTTTTATAACTTTGTAATGCTTTAATGTTCAGGGTTCTCTCTCAAAATATAAAATAATTCTAACTCATTTTATTTCTAAATTTTACTATAAAATTAAAATTTAATTAATATTTTAAAATAACAAAAATATAAGGTAAAACCTAAAAATGAACTGAGGCTTTATTTTTTATATTTTTCCTTTAAAATTTTTACACATTCATGAAATTTTGTAGTGATTTTCTTTACTATTTAATTTATTGTATGAATATTATGATTTTATATAATATTTTTAAGTTTGTGCTTGAATCATGAATCAAATGATTGCTATATAACTTTTTTTTTTTTGATAACAAAATTTGTAATAGAGATGATAAGAATGCATGGTATGGATTTTTTGAGAAATATAGGTGACAGTAGACATAGGAATTATACAATGCATGGTGACTGTCAATTTAATTTATTTGAAATATCTGAATTATTATATTAAATATATGAAGCAAGTAATGTTTATTGGTATTAGATACTTTTTATTTTAAATAATCAGAATGCAAATAAAAATTTAGTCTGAAGATTTCACTGAATTGTTTAAACTATAGAGTTCCTTCATGCAGTAGCAATAATAAACTGACATTAATCCCCACTAACGGTTATCATGAAAACACATTTGAAAAATAATAATGACATTAAACTTAAAGTTTAAAAATTTTCATTTTAAAGACAAAAATTTAAAACAATATTTTCAAATAAAAGGTTTTAAAAGCAAGAAACAATTCAGATGTAAAACTTTTTTTTCTGATTTTAAAGTTTAAAAAATATCAATAATAAAAAGGAAAAATTGTATTGGTTCCCTATTCTATCAAATTTTTTTTAACTGATAAGTTTTTTGTTTTCTTTTTTCTTTTTTTTTAACATTTTTCTCTTGGAATGTTGTCAAAAAATTTGAGAAGAAAAATGTTAGTTTTCGTTTTCTAAAAAGATAACTGTTTAGCCCAAGCTGCACCCTGTAAAGTCCATATCAAAAACCTTTCAGACACTGAGGCACCAAAACCAAAATATAAGCTTTTCTCCATAAAAAAGATGTATCATCTTGAAAAAAGGAACATTAATTGAAATTTCCCCAAAAAAAAGAGGAAGCCTACTACTTTTGTTTTGTTTTTAAAGAAAAAAAAGAAAACAATTTTTAAATCAAAAATTAGGATTAATAAATATAAAATTAACAAACGATTTCAAGGTGCTATTCACTGAGCAGTTTATGCGATGAGTGAAGTCACGTGACAAACCTAACTTGCAAATTTTTTGATGGCAATACTTCTATTATATTGGCACATTTCAGCGAATGATTATTATAGTTCAGTGTATTAAAAAACCAAGAACCGAGCCGGAATTTAGCAGACGACGTTTTTTTTTTCCCCCTCTTTTTTTCGTCTTTCATGCACTCGCGCACTTGAAGAAGAATCACTTAAACTACAAATAACTTTTTCGTTCACGTGACCAAAAACGAAATAAATAAGCATGGGAATTGTTGTATTTTTTTTTCTCTTTATTTTGTTCGTTGTTAAATGACCAGACCGCCATCGTGTCGTTATTCTCAAGTTTCAATTAAGAGAAGAAAGTAAAAGATGCCACATGAGTGACGCAATTTTAAAAGAAGAGATATTTGTTTCCACACAGTTTTTAACAATAACATTTTATTTAATCATAAGAAATATTTATTTACCAGATTTAATTGTTTAGAAACGATTAGAAAAGCAATATTTATTGTGAATATTTATTTATTTTTTTTACAAACCTGGCATTTAGCAAGTTCAGAAGACCTAAATTTTAAAACTTGACACTAAAGGAGAAAAATAAATTTAGACAACTTTGAAGAAAAAACAGTTTTATTCCGTTTTTTTTTTTTCCTTAGACAATTGTGTGTTTATTATTCAACTTCAAACACAAAAAGAAACCAACGTTTATAGGCGAATTCCTTAATTTCAAATTTCTATTTTTTTAAGAAATCAATCTGATATCAATATTTGTTTTGTTTTTTTGTTTAAAAAAAACAAACAAAACAAACTCATCAGCAATATGACACAGGATTAAAAAAAAATAAAGTCGCCAACTGAATTGACAAAATAAAAACTGACAAAACTTTATATGTCACTCAATATCACTTAGAAAAAAATTTAGTGAGCGCAATGATTACTTGTCAGTCGTCTAAAGTCGTAAATGGCTAACGAGATAATTTCAGCGCCTCTCATAAAAATTTAGCATTAAAATGTTTCCACAGTGATACTGTTACACAAAATCAGCTTTATATGTAAAAGGAACGAGATTTTAAGACATGTCCCTCTCAATTTTGTCGAAGACGAGAAAATGGCGTCAAGTACACTCAGCTTTCAATGAATCTTGTTCATTTTTAATTTTTTTTTTTTTTTTATTTCATACAAAAAACATTCCTTTGACAACATATGTATCTTAATGTGCACGGTCTTATTAAAAGAGTCTTTTTTCTTCAAATTGTCAGAATCGATATTTTTAATTCAGTAATTTAAAATACATCCTGGTACTTTAAAAAAAGCTAAAAAGAAAATTAAAATATAGAAAATTAAATAAATTCTAAAAAAATATTTAAATTCTTTATATTAACATTTTTATTCCCTATTGGGCTTTTATTTCACTTTCTGCTAAAAAAAAAAAAAAATTATGAACTTTCATCAACAAGTCAATTTCTTTGTATAAAATATTCAATCCCCCAAAAACAAGCATGTCCTTCCGAAATATTAGTCACGCTATACAACTTTTAATTAAAACTTTTGACATTAAATTGAAAGCGCGTGCCAACTAATTTTTAAATTCAAGAAATTTTTTAGTTATTTCAAGTTTGTTTTGCGATATGGCCACGTGACCAAAACATTTTTTTACTTCTTGCATAAATTAATAATTTGATTTGGAAGTGTGACTAATTCCCCTAAAAACTGCATAAGTTTTTATTTACGTTGATTTTTCCTCTTAAGAATAAAAGTTAAAGATTTCAAAGTGACAATTTTAAAAACAATTTCTGTTTAGAAAAAAAAAAGAAACAACAAAAAAACGAGTGGATAAACTTAAAATTTTCATTTAAATTTTTTTTAATCCCAAATATTTACAAAAATAATACCTTGACTAGTAAGGAGTTAAATGTGAAAACTTTGAAATAAATTTCTATTTTTTACTAATTTAAAAATAAAATAGTTCGCATAGTTGATCAAGAAGAGCTGATCATTAAAAAAAATGAATTGAAAGGAGCATTTCTAACCCTACACCCCTACACAAACAGTAGGATATAAACACAAGGTCAAATTTAAGGTGGTTCTCCATACATAGCGCTCTTACATGCAGGTTGGGCCAGAAATTGTTTAGTTCCCTCGGCATTTCCCCTAGGGAACGGCTAAGCAGGCATTGATCCTGCGTAATGAGGGTGGGTGTTGAATGGAGATGATGCTCCCCAACACGTCGCTTCCAAACTGAACTTTTATTTGTTTTTTTTTTTAGTTAGATCCAAAAAGGGTGGACAAAAGGCGAAATATAATTTTAAAAACATTTTAATTTTTAAAGAAGTTTTCTGTTTTCTCATTCAGATTTCTCTGACGACATTGTTTACGTGACAGTGACAATATTGTCGCAATTTATATTATTTTCATTTATTAGACATAAGCGGCTTATCATAAGCCGATTTATACTTTCAATCTTTCTTTAATAAATAAGAAAAAAAAAGGCAGACTACGTCATGTAACTTAATAAATATTTTACTAGTAAACTAAAAAAAAAAGAAAATTTAGTAAAAAAAAAAAAATTGAAAAAAGCAGTTTCAATTCCCTCATTCAGTATTTATTTAAAAAAAAAAAAAAAGGCATGAACTCCAAAATTCCCTATGCCCACCAATACAGACAAACTCACCCACTTAGCACATTCGTACATTTTTTGTAACATCTGCAATACAAAATAATTACCACAACTGAAACAAGAAAAATCAATGATTTTTTCCCAAACTTAACACCAGAAAAAGTTTAAATTTTTCATTCGAGATAAAACGAAGTTTATTTTTTTTAAAATTCAACAATATGTCAAGAATGAAAATAAACTAGCTTAGGATTCATTCATATTTCAACAAATTTTCACACACAAGTATTTTTTTAAAGGGAGAACAAAGGTAAAACGAACGAATTTTAAATTCTGATAAATAAAATAAATAATCCTTTTTTTTAATGTCACGATTTTTTCTCTTAAAGTTCATTGTGACAGTTTTTTTTTTAGTCAATCAGATCGATCAATGTGCTGAAATAATATTCTTAGGTCGCTGTAAATCATTTATTTCGAAAATGTATAATAAATAAATATATACTGTAAAAGACACGAAATAAAATGGGACAGTGTCTGTGTAAACAAACATTTTCAAAAAAGGTAAAGCAAATAAAAGAAAAAGCAATCCACGATTTAAAGTTATGGGTGCAGGTTGGCGCAATAACAACATTAGATTTTTAGTAAATTTCCAAAGACAAAAGAGAAAATGTCCTTTAAGATAGAAAAATTAACATTTTCATAAATCAGTTATATTTATTTTGTAATTTAGCGTGATTATTCCGAATCTTGATTTCGAAATTAAACTTTTTAAACGTTGCGTCTACCGTCTTCTCGTAAAAGAAGGCTAATGAAGAAAAAACTAAACAAAAAAAACAATTCTATTTTGCAACTAAATATTTTTCAACAAAAGTTTTCTCGTTTTAAGTTTAGAGCGGCGTGGGTGTAATGTCAGAGTAATAGTAAATAGTTTAGTTTATGCTACGGTCATTATTTTTGGTGCTTTTTTATTTTCTGGACATATTTTTTCTATTTTTAAGTTGAGTGTTTTGTTGCAGAAGTCAAACCTAGGTTATGGAAAACAAAAACAAAATGTATCAGTAGGGTTTCGAATTTCTAGCTTTTAACATAGAAGCTAATTTTAATATTTTATGCTTTTTTTAATTTTAAGTTAATCCTTTATCATTTAAAAATAATTAAAATTGCCATCTACATCGTTTATTATCATTTCTACTTTCACTTTCGAGAAATTAAATGTAAATCAACTGATAATTTATTTAACTCTTATGGTCATCCGTAGACGAAATTCAGAACCATTAAAAAGTATACGTCTATTTTTTTTTATTTTTTTTTTTTAGCATGTTCTACTTATTTTGGGAGTGAAATTAAAAAAATAACGAAAACTTGCATAACTGAATTGTAGATTTTGATAATTCTGAATGATTTAAACTTAAAAAAACAAAAAATATCAGCAATAACAGAAATAAAAAGTAAGTTGCAGCGATAAAAATAGAGATTTTGAATTTTACTTTACTTGTTGTTGATGTTTAATTAAGCTAAAAAGAAAACGATCGGGGCTCAATTTTAAAATAATGCACAACATTTATTTAATAATGATGTCTGTATCGATTAAAAGAATATGACAAAAAAGGACGACCAGCAAGAAGAATGAGTAAAGGAAACATCACCAAAAAACCAAGAGACTAAAAGAGAAAAGGAAAAAGAATCAGAGGACATTTCAACCATCATGAAAGAAAAATAAAATAAAACGAAGATATCATCCATTTTTAAATCCATTCATATTCTTATTTATCAATAAATGTTTTTAGTTGTTAGTACCTACCCGAGGAGGTAGTGGTAGTAGTTAGTGCACTAAACAACGATGAAGTACCTAGAGAAGTTGGCTGGCCACCTTGTATATGGAGGTACTGCATGTCTGGTGCGATGGATGGAGGAGACCAGCAACAAATTTTCCGTGACTCTTTCTTCTCTCCCTCTTTCTCTTTCTCTCTTCTTTCTCTTCTCTCTCTTTGTCTTTCTCCCTAGTGTTTACTCACCCCCTCTCTCTTTGAATTTCTTCTTCTCCTCTCCCCGCTGCATCTCCAACTCCTCTTTCTCCGCCACTGATTCGCTGTACTCTTCCTACTCCTACTAGAGTTATCCCTTTGCTTCATCTATTCCAATTACCTCCTCTTTCTACTATCTGTACCATTGCCTCCACCTTTTTCTTTTTTTTTTCACCTCTGATCATTAGTCTTTCTATCATTCTCTCTAATTGTTCAATCTTTTGCTTTCTCTTACTAGCGTTTTTTTATTAAATTTTCTTATAGTTTTAAAATTTATCAAATTTTTCTTTATTCCTATCGTAATTTAAAACTTATTTAATATACCAAATTTTTGTTTTATGATTAATCTAGTTAAAATACTGTCTATCCTTACTTATTCAATAAGATTTCACTTCATTTTTTCAATAATGCTTCTTTTTCTCTTTTTATTCACACAAGTTTGCATATCTATCTATCTATCTATCTATCTATCTATCTATCTATCTATCTATCTATCTATCTTTTTACCAAAGTTGAAAAGATATTTCATGTTTTCGTTATAAAGAGTTTGTTTTTATAGTGTATTTCTATTGTAAATTTTGCTAAAAATTTGCCTTATACAAAAACTTATGAAGTCTCGTTATCACAATCGGAATCAGTCTATATGTTTTTGTGTTTTTCAGCTGATTTGTCTTTAAATTAAATGGTGGCAGAATAAATATCATTGAACTTAAGCTTAAGGTAAGCTTAAATATTAATGCAATACTTAAATGCTGTGATCAATTTTGAGTTCTTCTGCAGTTTATTGTTGCCTATCGCATCTACACCTCCCTACCTTTTTTGATGAAAGCTCAATCAAGAGTCCTCCACAGAAGCTAGCTTAAATACCGCCTGATAGGGTGGCTTTTAAGCTAGTATAAATATATATGCAGGTTAATGGTGAATTATGGGTAACAAGGTCTACTGTATTATCCTAACAGTTATTGGAAAGGCAGTCTTGGTTATTTTTTAATTATTCTAGAGGCTATTGTGTAAAAATAATTTGAGATCTGAATGCAGTTAATTGTACCTAGTGTTGTTTTTAACATTTTACTCATTATTTATTATTGATTACTTAATTTTTTATTGTTGACTATTATTATTACATTTACTAGTGTTTATATGTGTATCCATAGTTTGTTAATTTGTTTATTATTTATTTATTTTGATTTTTTGTTTGTTTTTTTTTTCAAGTGCTAGTTATCTTATTTGTTTAATTTTAAGTATTGGCTTTGTCTAAAGTATATTACATTATCTGCATTGTATATTTTATATTAATTTTTCATGGTGATATTTTACAAGGTATTCATTTTTAGTTTTTGATTTTTAAGGAACTTAGTAAAAATTTGTTTTTGTATCTGCATTTTGAGTTGAGTTCTGATCATTTTTTTAGTAATATGTGTTGGACTGGGAAAGTGATTATAACGATTTTCTCCTTCAGATATAGTTTACATTTTGGGGATTTATTGTTCTAGGCTAATGCTGTTTTCTTTATTTTCCATGATATTTTTCATGTAATTTGATTTTTGTTTTTAATTTTCCTTATATGTTTAAAAAGGGTTGTGCTGTTTGCATATTTAACATTTGTAAAGAATATTTTTTGGCATAATTTCTCTTATTTCAGGGTCCTTCAGTTACTCCTATGGCTATTTTTTCATTGTTATCTGCTGATTTTACAGTGGATTGGTATATCATATTGTTTTGTAAGCAATTGCCATTCATGGAACATTCATGCTTTGCCATGCAGTTAAAGGTAAGTTTGATTTGTGTGGGTGGTTTGTTGGTTATTTTTCTGTTGTGCTTTTTTATTATTTGTATCATGTTTTCAGTGCAACTATAGCTGATTTTTATTGTTTCTGTTAAATATCTTGTGGAGAGTGCTTCATGGGGAAAGTATTTGTGTAATGTTTCATTAATATTTTTCCTACATTTATTCTTATGTTTTTGTTGTATGGTGGGTTAAACCATATGATGCTTCCTTTCCTGATAACTTTTTGCATAGTGTGGTGTGGATGTGAATATTGTCGAAAATCAACTATCTTTTAGTGCTGTTTCTTAAACAGTTTTGGCTTTGTTAAAGATGGTTTCATAAGAAGAATTGTCAGATAACCTATGGTTAATTGACAGTGAGATTTGCTTGATTATTGTTTGTGGGTGGTTGGAAGATGTTTGTATGTAAAGTGGTTTGTCATTTGGTTTTCTATATGATTGATATATACCTTTTGTTATGTTGAGTGTAATGTTTAGGAAATTTACTTTTTTTAGATTTGTTTTATATCTATGTTAAATACTGTATTATTGAAAATTTTTGTGATTATTTTGCTGGTTTTGTCTGTTTTTTGTTTGTTACAGTTTCTTGAGATTATGAAACTGTTGTCCCTGTAGAGGCCTATATCACTTTTGTTGATTATTTTGCTAAGTTCATGTAGTAAATGTATGCCTATAAGCTAACTAGTTCTACACCATCAAAACTTCCCATTGTAATGTTGAATGTTCCTTATTTCTTTAGCCAAGCATCTTCATTGTCAAATAATAGTGATTTTAGCAGTGCTTGATGATGTTTACTTCATTTGTGCTTATTTTTATTTGTTCTTGAGCTAATGAGATAGCATTATCTAGCTAGTTCCATTATTGAAAGGTAGAAATATACATATACAATTAGGCAAGATAACAAGTTATTACAATATGTGAGGCTCATTAAAGGTAAAAACAATTATAGTTTTTATCAAAATTCTTTGAGAAGGATCGCAGATTCACAAGCATTGCTGGGTAATTTAATCATTCAGTTTTTAAACTGAAATTCAATATTGAAATAAATCTTGTAAAAGTTTAAAATTAGGGATAATATTTCTAATTTCATGAATTTTCTTTCAGTTTTCTCTCATTTCTCTTTCTTTCATCTTCTAGTTCATTGTCAGTGGTAATGTGATCAGTTTTTAGTTTTTCTTTGTTCTTCTTCCTTTTCATCATCATAGTAGTCATTGGCATTGTCCTTGTGAATGCTGAAACCCTTCAGTCTTTGGCTCTCCTAGTAGCTGCTAGTATAGTTCATTTGTGAAAGTGAATACTTTTCTACTTTCTGCCTCCAAGCAGCCAGTCAACCTCCTTCACATGTGAAAGCTGGTCTGGCAAGTTAGACTTTTTAAATAGCCATGAATTGGCTCCCAGTTGAAACAGAAATTTGATACCTTGGCTTTCTAATTTACTTTACCCATTGATTAAAAAATCACAAAATGTATATCTTAAACCATGCCTCTTTGCAAACGTAATAAAGTTTGCAAAAAGGCATGGTTTAAGATATAGGCAGGTTTGAGACCATAATTTTTAAGCCTCTTTTTTACAAATTTGAAAACCAAATTTTACACATATATCTTTTTTCATAAACCATCAGACTTCATTTTGGCAATATTTGCATCAAATCTGAGCCTCACATATACAAACTTTTATGCATCAAATTTATTCAAGCCATTTTTTATTAATTAACAACTGACTTTCTTTTTATAATTATTTTTTAATACTCATCCCAAAAGAAAGTGCAATCAACAAACTTAGACTATTGTATCATTATTTTTTATATTCAGATTTTCAGATTCAGTTTTTTTTATTATAAATTTTTATACAATATATGAATTCTGAACAGGTATCTAATGCACATGGAAACTTCAGGCGTCCACAGACAATGCAAGAATGGTATCGTTAGTGATTGACAAGAATGTTAACTACCTAATAAAAAGAAAATTGTATCAAATCTCATCTCTGTTCAACAATGCTGTGGCTCAGACCATCATTCCCTGCATTTAATGGTATTTTGTAGTTATTCACCAATAAAGATGTCACTGTCTGAATTTCTCTGATGAGTTGTTGTTATCATTTATATTATTTACATGGTTTAACGATTGTGTATAAGCATGATACAGTGATATGTCCTGGAAAGGGATATATTTGTTCAAAGTAGCAAAGTGGTTGTTGACTACTGTAACCGAGTAGTACAATCTAGTAGGTAACCGTAATGGACTGGTCCTCGTCATAGTGGTAGGCAATAGGCGTAGCCTATAGGTGTAGTCCATAGGTGAAAACTATAGGCATCGTCCATATATGTCGACATCAGTCTGTATTTATGGCTGACACCAGCCAATCATATTACTGTGAGGGGGAACCCAGATGTATGCATATTCATTACATCAAACAGATTGTCACTGCTGGGTATTGACTTCAATGTCCAGTTTTATATTTATATATGTTTTATTTCTGATATTGACCCATACATATAGCATATCTTAAAACTATATTTTATCATATATATATATATGTATGTATGTATACAGGTGGTTGATGATGTTCTTGGACTGGCCCACTTTCTAAAATCTGATCAAGTGACCAAATGTGTTTTGGAAGGTTTCTTTAGGACACTATCTTTTTAAATAAGAATCACTAACTGGTAATATTCAGCAAAGGATAACTTTGTTAAATATTTATTGGCAGTGGGAGTTCAGGATCACATGTGTTGTAAAAGTCAGTAAAAATAGATTCTGTCAGAATGGTTAATTAAAGATGATTTCTATCTTCCTTCAATATTATTTCAGTAATAAGTTTGATCTATATTTTATTAAGCTAATGATGTTAATTTAATTAAAAAATGTTAGTTTATGTGAGTTTTTGATCAAAATGCCAGTTTTCCCAGGGTGTTATAAATTACATACAAAGTAGATAGTAGAATATGTTGTAGGATGTGTAAAACCTAGTACAATGTTGCAAAGTGCTTTAAGACGTGGTCTGTATTGTCATATTAACAGATAAAAACAATACACGTATGGTTACAATCATTCAGTCACATTAGATTTTGATCAGCT